ACATTGATTGTTCTTTCTCTGTAGGGGCTTTGCTAGAGTTATGTGCATTTCATCTTCAATCTGTGTCAGCAGATTTTCATTTTCAATACATCTCCAGTCAAGACTGTGGTGGAGTAGGATGCTCCATCTGGAGCTCCTCCACTCCTTCTGTTTATTTCCCATTTCCCTCTCTTATTTCCCCCTTTTTTGATGTTTTTCCCTGATGTAGAGCAGCATGGAGGCATGGAGCAGAGCGGGCTGGAGGCCTGAATGGAGCAGGATGGCCAATGGGCTGGAGGCTCGAGTGGAGCAGGATGGCCAGTGGGCTGGAGGCTCGAGTGGAGTGGGGATGGCCAGAGGACTGGAGGCCTGAGCAGAACGGGATGGCCTGCAGGCTGGAGGCCTGAGCACAGCGGGACAGCCAGACGAGCTGGAGGGGAGCCGTGCAGCCAGCACGCTCGGAGCTGAGTGGAAACAGTTGTTGGACTTGGGATAGGTGCAGGTGGTCAGCGCAAACCCGGTCAGGCCACGGATGGAAGCCCCCTGCACAGATCCACTGCAGGCCCTTTATAGAAACACTGCAATGCTTATCTTTTTTACTTTATTTCTTATTTTTCTAACTTATACTGTGAATAACCATAAGTAATGTCACTGTGTTCCTTTATTTCTCTTTTTGTATCTAAGATTTGTACCTAGGTACTCTGTACCTAAGATAGTGCCATGTGGAGCAACATTGTAAACATTTCACTGCAGATCTGTACTTCTGTACTTGAGTACATGTGACAATGAAGGAAATTCCAATTCTATCTGTAGATTTCTACTGGAGCATGTAAACTTTTGATTTTGAGGTGTTGATTGGTTCAGACTCTCTCATTCATTCACCCTTAGCATTATTGGTGAAACCAACATGTTCACATTCTCAGTTCTGCTATTTGAGAATTGCTTCTTGCTTGGCATGATCTCTATTGCCATAACTGAGGATTCATCCTGGGAAATATTCTGCTTAAAACAGCCATTTCTGAATCACGTCAGCAACATCACACTTGAATCTAACATGGCTATTTATTTACCTGTTACACTCCAAGTTATAATCAGTTATAGATTTTCCACATGGCTCAAGTGGGGGATACAGTTCATTGACTATCTCATGTTGTTTAACTTTGTAAACCTTATTAACTCTTGCTGTCTGAGCACTTGCCGTTGTTGAAAGATTGATGGCAGTGGAAACCATTTGTGCAGTTCCTCCATAGTGACAGATTCCTATCTCATTGACAGTACGAAAGAAATTTGTACTGCCAATATAAGCCATCTCAGTGATTTCTATTTTTGTTTGGATCCTGCCATGAGTCTAGGAAGCTCAATGAAGTCTTGTCCTTTGATTGGTTATTCCTCAACTTGCACAGTTCCTTGAATAGTTGTTCTTTAACTTATGCATAGTTTAACTCCTACTGTTTTAAGATGATTGTGGTCAAGGCATACATTCCTACTCAAGTGAGAATTCTCGGTTGAGTAAGTATAAGATTGTGTTATTTGGTGTCCTTTATTTTGGAGATGCTTGAAATGTACCTTTAATCTTCAGTGCTATGCCTCCTGGACCATATAATTATACTATTGACAGCTATTGACTGTATTTTCTTAACCAAGGCTTACTATCTGATAATATAGTGACACTTGCTCCAGTGTCTTAGTTGAAACCTGTGAGATGGCCATTCACTGAGATATTGGCTTGCCAAAATCTTCAGCTTCTAATTTAGTACTTAATTTGGAAGCTACTCTGTATCTCAGAAATTGTTTTCTTCATGATATCCAACTCTTGTTTTATTTGTTCCACCCCTGAAATTAAGTCTTCCTGGCAAAATTAACACTGCCTTGTCCTTGTAATGGGAATATATGTTTAGCTTGCTGACAAATTTCACACTAATATCAGTTCTGCTGCTCTTTGCTATGCATGTTTTGTGGCTGAAATTGAGTATTGCTACCTTCTTGCAACAAAAATGGAGGTTTCCCACCCTTTAGGGCCTCACTGTATGAATCCCACTGTTCACAGCTTTAAGAAATAATTCCCATTTTAACAGCTTTGCTGAATGACTCCTGCCACTTGCAATTTAAATAAATGATTTCTGCCTTTATGATGGCACTTAAGAAGAATCACCTGCCTTTCTCATGTCCTAAATAAAGTCTCCTAAACGTTCTGTCCCTGTTAGAACAGGCCGCCTGTGGGATTTAATCTGCTCAATGTCATTGCTTAAAACTAGCTTCACAGTGCGACCTCAGATGAATATTTCTGCAATGGATCCTTTACTTCCATTTCTGTAGTCATGCCTTATGCTGCCCACTCACGATGGTGGCACTGCTTGATCTGAGCCATAATTTCTTTTAAACTTCTCACTTTTCTGGCCTGGATCTTGGTGCCATTTTAAATTTTCCATTGTCCACCAGGAATTATAAGCTCTACTCATGGAGTTTCTGACATCTGTTCACACACTGCTAAACTCCAACCTGGGATAAATCCCACTAGCCACTGCCTGGGGATGCAGCCTGTGTCTGCTTTTGAGTTACTGATTCTCCTACTGCAGGCAGTTGCTAACTCTCCTGTTGTAACCTGTCCCTTGCTCGTTCTGAAGTGTTTTTAGCTTTCACTGGCATCCTCTTCCTTTGTGAGGATTGTCACAAGGATTCTTCTGTCGGGTTTGCAAATCTTCAGCTCTTCCCTGCTGCTGACTGTGCTTTTTGAGAAGGCACTTTAAAGCTTACACAATTCAAATCTACACTGTTGCTTTCAAGGAGAGCTCATTATGTTGTATGAGCCGCTGCTCAATATTGGTAGCAACCTTCACTATATCTTTAAGTGCAGGAAACTTCATGGCCTCTTTGGTTTAAGGTGGTAAACCACTTCCTGGTCTAATTAGAAGAGTCAGTTGTAGTAGATACACTAGTTACAGTCCACATTGATATGATAGACATTGTTACAGAGACTGAGATATTAGGTCTCACTCCTTTCATATTCACAACTGCTCTGTCCACAAGACATCGTCACAATGGATGACGCTTATGGTACTCCTCAATTTAACCCCCTCAGATTTTTTCAGATACAAACACAACAGATGGCATTTGAAAATCAGTAATCCATCATTCTTATTATATCATTAAAGCTCTCTGGTCCACATCCTCTTCTGCACCTTAAGTGTGCTTGTCTATGGCTCGTTCCATCATAGTTTCATCTGTCCCCATCTCTAAAACCTTTTCCAATCACACACCATTATCTATCCTGTCACCATACACCATCTCTGCTCAACTCTGACAGCTCTTCATTTCTCTGATATATTTATTTCTGCACCCTACACCCTTTGCTCAATTCCTGTGGCTGTATCTTTAGCTGACCAAGCTCTACATTCTAATCCCTTAATCCCCTCTGCTCCCTAAAGACCATCCCCTTCTTTTAGCTCTCTGCAAAATTCATTTCTTGCTCTTCTTAGCTTCTGCATCCATTTTTAATCTAATTTTACTATTGTAAATTCACCTTTTTTCTATATTAAAGGCATTGGATAAATATAACTTACTCAGTGTTCGCTGACTTAATAACAGTGACATTGGTTGAGATAAATTTTGTGTCTTCATAACATCAACAACACTATGTAAATAAAAACTCATTCTTTCTCAGAAATTGCTTTTACTTAAAATCTACAAGATGAAAATACATTTGGAAGCTCTCCTTCAGTATATCAATGAACATGCATGACAGCTTTAAAGCAGTTTGAGACGCTTTCACAATAAGAAGCTTTGATCATTCATAGCTATAATCTTAAACATGATAGGAAAGCTTTCCACTTAGGCATTCCGACACCACACATCACCAGAGAGTATCCTTCCAGCTTGAATTCCATCCATGCAGCTTATAAAATAGGATACTGTAGAGCATGGATCATTCCTGGCAGATGCCGGAATTGTCAAAACATCAAGTTTTGTCTTTAATCTGACAACAGGGAGATGCCATAATGGAAATCATATTAATAGCCTTAGCCACGATGCAAATATGCAAAGTTATCAACCTTATACTTCTACAATGAAGAAGCAATTAATTGCCAGGCAAATATTGATGCCACATGGTCTTATACAAATATAAACACTTTTGCAAGATAACTCATCATTTATTGCACACCATGAAGTGAAAGAAGAAAGCCTACACTTTTGATTGCTCAGTTTTACAGTGAGAATGATCTGGCATTTAGGTCAGAACAGACCCAAAATGTACAACAGTCTAACTACTGACTGACAATATTGGCACCACAGGTGTTGGATTTCATGTTGCCAACAAAAGATACTTTTGGAGTAAGATTCCTACATGGACCAATTGGAAGGAAACTCCATGCAAATAGTTGCCCACTTTATAGACATGCCACTGCTTCCACTTCATCAATTTTTATAAGTCTGCCTGTGTTGGAGAAGATGCTATTTGCAATTCTGCCAATCCAAATACCACCTCCTCTGTTATTTTAGACAACACATGGCACAAATTAAAACCATCATTTTCCTTTTCCCATTTTTTAAATTATACATAAATACGTTGTTTCACATAAGAAAATGGATTAATTAGAGAACAGAACTGCTCCACTGAGAAATATGCTTCAAATGGGCCAGAAATGCATTTTGGAAAGTTCAAGCTAGGCTACTTTCACGTATTGCATAGATTGAACAAGCAATAAAGGAGCTGAACCAACAGCAAAGGTGGCATGAGTAACAAATAGCAAGGAATCGATCGACCACCATCATTGCTTTAGACTTGAATTGTTGTCAGCAAGTAAAAATAAATAGACTACATTCCTCTTATTAAAGTAGAACAAAGATGAGTGATACCTGCTTCAAATAGTGTAAAAATATTAGCATTACTTAAATAAACCCTGGAGTTTCATAATACCAGCACTATTTTAATCTAATGATTCATATTTGTGAAACATTAGATTATTATTTGCAACCTATTTATTTAGCAGCAAAAATAGGTTAGTCACACCAACTGAACTTACCTGAGGTCGGATAACTTTCTCGATATTTTTCAGTGCTGTATCTGGGGACGGTGGTGAGCAATCCGGGGTGGGACCTGTACTTTTCCTGTGGTGATTACCTTCTGGTGCTGTAACGGTTACTTGTGGGGCAACCTCTGCAACAAAATAGGTTATTTAAACATATTTTAACCATGTCTTCATCAGCCTTGATTATTTTTTTCATGTCATTTTATAATACAAGTCATAAAATTGCTTACAAAATGATTTATTGTTAATTATTAACTGCCCATTGGCTTTGCAAACTGACTCCTTCCCAGAATTAAAAGATAGTTCAAAGATCATTCCATACTTAATTTCTCTAACTAACGAATGAACACATCTTCTGGTCTATGATCCCTGAATAATCTTCAATACCGTAATGTTTCCTCTATAATAAAGAAACACTTTTGTTAAAATCCCTCAAAATCACTCAAAAACACAAAATTAGTGCAGCATCTGAATTTTAAAAGAATAAACTGCATGGCACACTCTGAAGGCAGAGGATTCCTTAAAGGATTCAGACTGTATCACTGATTTCCCCACGTTCATTTTCCAGTGTTAACCCATTAATACCATTACGATGATACAGAGTGTGCAATATACAACAGGGGAAAAAATTATTCAGCCCACCCAATTTACTTGATTACTTGAAAGAAGGCATAATACCGCAGATGTTGGAAATCTGAAACAAACACAGAAAACGCTGGAGAAACTCAGCAGGTCTGGCAGCATCAGTGGGGAGAGAGAGAGAGAGACAGAGTTAACATTTTGATTCTAGTATGGCTCTTCAGAAATAAAGGTGAGTCATACTGGGCTAAAAATATTAACTCTGTCTCTCTCTCCACAGATGCTGCCAGGCCAGTTGAGTCTCCCCTGCACTCTCTGCATTTGTCTCACTTGATTGCTTGGCTTGTGGGCAAGTCCTGCTCAAGTTATTTATGTCAGCCTTCTGTTAGCACTGTCTTTGGCAAAATACGTAACCACTTAGAATTCAAATACTTTATCAAATTTCCATATACACCATGCCAAGTTCTATTTGACAGCATTAATACACTGTATCAGGGGCAACATGGTAGTTCAATGGTTAGCACTGTTGCCTCACAGCACCAGGGACCCAGGTTCAACTCCTGCCTCGGGTTACTGTCTGTGTGGAGTTTGCACATTCTCCCTGTGTCTGCGTGGGGTTTCCTCCGGGTGCTCTGGTTTCCTCCCACAGTCCAAAGATGTGCAGGTTAGGTAGATTGGCCATGCTAAATTGCCCCGCAGTTGTCCAGCTGATGTGGATTAGCCATGATAAATGCAAGGTTACAGGAATGCAGTTACAGGGAAATCTGTAAAATTCGGGTGATCAAACAGTCAATGGGACATAATACTGGGGCTTGGAGGATAAAAGGGAATTGCTGACTATAAAGGCAGCACTCCAAAGTTGAATGATGGAGAAGTGAGAATGGATTAATGCAGTAGACTGATAACATTGAGAATCACAGGATATTTAAGAAGCCTATCTTTCAAATAGATTGGATAAAGTCCACAATGTACTTTATGAACATGTTTATGGAAAGAAAAATGTTGATAATATTTTCCTGCAATCTATTTTTGTATATTATTGAAACTAAATCCCTAAATCTTCTGTTTGCCTATTTGTAGAAATGTACATATTACTGTCAGTAATAACTCATAACGTCATGTGAATTTTGTTCAATTACTTGACAGATTATTGAATATTTCTGATATTGAACACATTCCAATAACCTTTTAAGGCAAAAGACACCAACTCTTTTCATCTCTAGGTTAAAAATGGACAGAATTATAAATTGACCGCCTAAGAGGAAAAAAAAGACTTGCATTTTTCTGATAATTCTCACAATCTCATGTCACTTCAAAGCACTTCATAATCAATTAAGCATTTTATGAAGTGTAGAAACTATTGCCATGTAGGAAGCAAGGCAGACAATTACTGCTTAGTAAGGTCCCATGTGTAGCGATGTGATAGTGACCACATTCTTCTTTACAAGATGTTGTGGAGAGAGAAATACTGCTCATAAGGCCATAAACCATAAGAAACAGGAACAGGAATAGGCCATTCAGCCCGTTGAAGCTGCTCCACTGTTCAATAGAACCGTGGCTGATCCTTAATTCCTCATATGTACTTTTCTGCATTTTTCCTGTAACACTTTATTGCCCTACAGATCAAGAATCTATCTATCTCACAATATTCACAAGGGCCCTGTCCCCACAGCGCTCTGTGGTAAGGAGTTCCAAAGACTCTCAATCCTCTGAGAGAAGAAATTCCTCCTTACCTTAGTTTTAAATTCTGCGAATGTGCCCTTCCTAGACTCTCCATGAGAGGAAATATCTCAGCATTGATCCTGTCAAGCCCCTTAAGAATCCTGTATGTGTCGATGAGATCACCTCTCATTCTTCTAAACTCCAGTGAGTAGAGACCCAACCTGTTTAGCCTGTGCTCATAAGACAATCCCTCCATACCAGGCACCAGCCCCCTAGTATACCTTCTCTGAACTGCCTCCAATAAAATGATATCCTTCCTAAATAAAGGGACAAAAACTGTTCGCAGAACTCCAGATGTAGTCTCACCACCACCTTGTACAGTTCATGTTTCCTGCCCATGAGCCAATTCTCTATCCATGCCAGTATCTCCCTCCAACACCATGAATTCTTATTTTAAAACTTAACCTTTTGTAAGGTAACTTGTTGAATGCCTTTTGGAAGTCCAAATACAGCACATCTACAGGTTCTCCTCTATAAATTCTGGGTGAGGCTTCCATGAAAAACTCTAACAAATTAGAACGATTTCCTTTTCATGAAGCCATGCTGACACTGCTTGATTAGATTATGTTTTTCCAAATGTGCTGTTATTACTTCCTTAATAGTTAATTCCATCATTCCAACAATAGACATTAGGCTAATTGGCCTACAGTAATCACTTTTTGACTCCCTCCTTTTTAGAATAGGGGTGTCACAGTGGCAGTTTTCCAATTCTCTAGTACTTCTCCAGAATCAAAGGATTTTTGGAAAATTACAATCGATGCATCAACTATCTCTGCAGCTACCTCATTTAGGATCCCAGGATGTAAGCCATCAGGACCAGGGGACCTATCTGCCTTTAGCCCATCAGTTTGTGTGATATTACTTCTTTAGTGATGGTGATGGTACTTAATTCTTCCTATCTTCCTTAGTATTAATGGAATGTTCAAAGTATCTTCCACTGTAAAGACTATTGAAAAATATCTGTTTAGTTCCTCTGCCATTTCCTCGTCCCCCATAATTATCCCCAGATTCATTTTCTAAGGGACCTATGTTCACTTTCAGATCTCTCTTCCATTTTACATATTTAATTAAGCTCCTATTGTCAGTTTATACACTCCTAATAGTTGGCTCTCATAGTCATGGGATATATTGTATCTAACTGATGGTAGACGGACCTTTGGCTTAATGTATTAACTGAAAGATGGTACCTTTGATAATGCAGTAATCTGTCAGTACTGCACTAAAGTGTCTACATTGATTTTCTACTCAGTGGATTAACCAATTTGTGACTTGTGGTGAGCACGTTCCCAACAGAACCGAGAAACCCGAAGATAAAAATAAGAAATAAATAAAAAGACAAGCTTTCAATCGAATCTATGGGAATCACCACACATTATCCTTGTACTTTGCCACCAGCTGAGGAATATGATATACATTTCACTAATCTCCATGCACCAGTGAAACAATCTTTGATGTTGTTTGTTGTCTTCAACATACGCAGCCCTCCTTTATCCATTATTTTGCAGCAAGTAAAGCAATTGCTCGGGCATTCCAGGAGTTAGAGAGTCATCCGACAGCACAGACTGGAGTTGGATGTCAGCACCCCCTGGAATTCCATGGGATTTGCCCAGGAAAATCCCCTTACACCTAGAGCCCTCCAAAATAAAAACCCGAAACATCAAATAATCTGGAGAGTTGTGCTTCAGCTTTGTTAATCGTTACCCAGGCATGCTCCTAACTATGCTTCCTGCGACCCCTTACAACCCAAGTGCCCTGATAGCCACTCCTCCTCCCCCACCCAACATGATTCCACCCCCGACCCCCTCCCAGACCTGATGCCGTTGACCTAATGTCCCATCGGTCCCGATAACCATCTTCCCCACCCAACCCTGCCAATACTTACCTCTCTGCCATGCAACCCATTCCACTGCTCTGCCACCACCAGATCCAACACCTCCTCCTGCCCGCTAGCCCTATGACTGACCTTGCCCACTAGCCCTGACATGCTCCCCTGCCTGCCCACCCACCCTTCCACAACATTCCCCCACACCTACTCTGCCCCCACTGACCCCAACAATCCTGCCCACACTGTCGTCAACCCTGACACTCCCACCCAACCTAACTTAACTAGCACTCCACAAATACCTTACCTATCCTTTCATGGCAGCTTTCAGTGCCATGCTGGGCTGCTGGATATTCTTAGAATCTTAGAATCCCTATCGTGACAATCCACACCTAGCATCAGAGCATCCCACCCAGGTCCATCCCCCTAAATCTACACATCCTTGGACACTATGGGCAGTTTAGCATGGCCAATCCACCTAGCCTGTACATCTTTGGACTGTGGGAGGAAACCCACGCAGACACGGGGAGAATGTGCAAACTCCACACAGACAGTTGCCCGAGGGTGGAATTGAACCTAGAGCCCTGGTACTGTGAGGCAGCAGTGCTAACCACTGAGCCACTGTGCCACCCTATTTAAAACTCTGTACCACAGCATACTGATTATTGCAAAAATGGGCATGGTTTGACTTTGACTCCCTGCACCCCAAATGTCCTGCTTTATCGGGGGGTGTGGGGTACATTATTGTGTTGATCTCTGATGGAGCCTGAATTGGAATTCCTGGCTAGAAGTGCAAAGCTAAGTAATAAATTCAAAAATACGAGCAGAATGCAGTCTGACTGTGATTACCACTTTTCAGTCTACCTGGGCCATTACTTCAGCGTAGTTCACTGTGCTGACCGAGAAACCAGCATGACAAAAAAATTGCTATCACACAGAAGAATATGTGACCTGATCACTTTTGAGTTAGGTTAGCACCATTAATCACCATGGAGACAAGCATTT